TTAAATGATAATCCTGGTTAATTATGAGAACGTCTACTGGTATTGCGGCTCTTAAAGCGGTTAGAAGGTCTACTAGCATAGACCAAACATTGATTGTAAAAATAATTCGAGAACGATTACTAAGCCCATAGAACAATTTGTATAAGAATTAAGTTTGATTTAAATATTTTTACAGTAAAGGAATATTTAAATCGGCTGGATAGACAAGCAACGTTTGTTTCAGAGGTAAAAAAAAAAGTTACGGGAGTAAAAGTCAGCGTCAAAGTCAAGTCAAAATCACATTTATTTTTTAATGAAATGAATTATTTATATTTAAATGATGAGAATATGTGATAGCGGTAAAGATATTATTATATAAAAATATTTATGTGTAATAAACGAATAGACACTTATTTCTCAATGAATTTTGTGCTGAACTGTGATAAAGAACTGATCTATTGAAAATAAATAAAAGGAAAAATAACAACATGGAACACATAAGACAATTTGATTGGTAAGTTAATATTACACTTTATATTAAATTAAGTGATAATCCTGTGTGATTTCTTTCTCTAAATTATCTAAAACCTCGTAATAAAATGACAAATTTACATTGCTTTTATTAAATTACTATTTATACTACTAATAAAGCACTATACTACTGTCATAGAATACCGAAACTAAGTCATCTTTTATTTTAGGTGTTACTCTGAACATGAAAATTATTTTGTAAGAGAAAATGATCTGGACAGCTGTGTGACAGAGAGGATACTAAGGAATAAATTCCGAGACCCGCTAATTTCCAGCGAATCAGAAGATGAAAAACCTACATTCAATTGGAATGAGATATTAGCAAAGCAAGAAATGGTAACAATTTATAATTTACAGTTAGTGATTGTTATTAGAGATAAACATTTATTAATCAAGTAATGCCTTAAAATAAATGTGAATAATAAACTATTGAAATATCAGAGTTCAAGTGCTCTGTTGAAATGTTACAATATCTCTACTTTTTCACAGAACAATGCACAACACAGAGTGTTTGTACCTGGATTCCGTAACATACTGCCTCACCCTAAGCTTTCCAATCTGACGAAGTCACAGCACTTTCAATGTCTAAAGGTGCTCTGTGCTAAAAATCCTAACATATTGCCAAAAGAATTTATACCACCACCAAAGAATTTTGATTATAAAGTTTTTCAAGTAAGTACAACTATTAAAACCATTTTTTTATTTTTATTTCATTCTATTATTAATAAACTTTGTATAGTAACTTAATCAAAAATTTGGTAATGTAATTAAAACCAAATTAACTACCTCAATGAGTTATTAATACTAAATTGTTCCATTTCCTTCAATACCGATTTTGATAATATTATAATTTTCAGGAAGTACAAAAAGCTTACTCTGAGGAACAGAAGGAATTTGTAGTGTGGGCTAAAACTCTGTGGACAACAAACCATTGTATAAGAGCTCTCAGACCAAAGCCCCTTGTGGAAACAATATATGAGGCAGAGTTTTCAATAAGGGCAAAACAAATGGAATCATTTCCTAAGAATTATACAATAGCTGCACAAATACCGTTAGAGTCAAGAAATGACAAGTATGAAATGATACACGAGAAAGAATTAATAAGTGTAAGTAAAGTATGGTTCATTTCATATATCTTGGCAGGCCAAAGTTATCTGCGCACTATTCAGTGCCCTTCATCTGCATCCCTATGTTTTCCCGATAGATTTTTCTTTTAAAAAAGATTTATTATTTGATTCAATAATTTTTAATTTATAAAAAGAACATACAGACAAAATGTACACCTTAGTGAAATTTGTTGAAAAAATTCAATGCATTTTATTCAAGTATTGTTTATTTTTAATAGGTGGATATAAACAGCTTACCACAGATAAGCGATCCCCAGCCTATCAAGAAGAAGCTGACCATCATGATACCAAGAGCTGTACCGGAGCCATGTACAAAGCACCCATGCAGAATTGTATTACCATGTAAGTTGACAAAGTTGTTTTTGAAATAAGGTGGCAAACAAGCAAGTGTCAACGGCCACCGCTGACTGTAGACATCTGCAATTGCAAATGCGTTACTTACCTTTAATACTATGTGTCCCCTCTACCGTTTAACCTACTTCCCCTTCCCTTAAAACAACAGGGTGGGAAGGGAAATAGAACTAAAATGCGTCCTGATCATTTGTGCTATAGATGCTGGCATCTACCACTGTTCAAATGAATGTAATAAATGATATAATCCAGACGAGTCCTCCAACACAACTCTGCCACTGACAGAGGTGCACTTCGCACTGGCTCAGTACGCGGTGGAGCAAGGTGCGTCATGTGTGGCCGATGAGAACGCGCTTATCTGTCTGCTGCGGACGGACAGGCACTGGACTTTTTCTCTATCTGTCTGCGAAGTTGTTACAGCAGGTATGTTCACTCAGCTAAGATAATTAAATATAATCTTTTTTCATTTATTGAATTATAAAAAGAATATGTTAATGTTAGGTTTGAGTGTTGGGCTCTCAGTTTCTCCGACTCATTTTTGATCTTTAAGTAACGGTCTCTGTGTGTGATAAGTAACCTAAAATATGTTTTCATATCATATTAATTGTTGAGATAATTTTGTTGAAGAGTATTTATTATTAACCTAAATGATTTCTTATGAATTATTGTAGAGGGTAGCCGTCAGAGTGTGGTGGTGCTGGGAGGAGAGCTGTCAGTGCAGCGTCAGTGCGCGCAGACTCGCACGCACACAGCTTACACACATCTGCTGACACACGCCCTCGTACCGTATGAACGCATCTATATATATACTACTTGTTCCCCGTCACTTTGTCTGAGGGATTAAAAAAGTGTAAACTCTACTCAACCACCCGGAGATAGTGTAGCTTTCCAACAGCGAAAGATTTTTTCAATTTGATTTAGTAGTTTTGGAGAATATTCAATCCAGACATATCTCTCCTGTTTATCATTTTTTTTATATTATACTAGCTGTTGCCTGCGACTCTGCTAGCGTGGACTGAAAAAAACATTAGTTTCTCCCGCAGTTAAAATCTGCATAATTTCTACCTAACACCCTTACATTATAAGCTTGAATATAAATATTTTAGTAAACATTTCTTACACAGGGATGAAGAAAAAGCAAAACTATATTACAAGGGCAAAGAAACAGCAGCGAACAATATGAATACTTTCACAGATCTGTGTCAAGATTCGGACGACTCTAGTGACGATGATTGTCCCCTGTACATTGTTGCGGGTGAGTTTACATCATTTTAATATTAATAATTAATGGGGAGGAAAACTAAAAAGTAGAAAGTAGATGGCGCTAGCACTAAGTTTTCATACGTCATTCTAGCTATGTTTAAAAATTTATTCCTTATTACCTCTGTTCAAATTAAAAAAGAAAGTCCGAACTGGAAAATCTAAATTTTGTTATAAATAATTGATGAATATCTCTTTCTCTCTCTCTCTCTCTCTTTTAAAAATTACTTATTTTTAAATTTTTAGATTGAAATTTGACTAAAGTCGTTGCTATGAGTACAGTATACAAAGTACTTTGTACTTGACATATAATATATATAAAATATGATTTTGTATATCCGTGGTATATTAACTTACTGTCATTCTTGATGGTGCTGACATCTAGTATGCCAAAGACAGTTTCTCTTCTCATTATTTGTGGTAACGAATCTCATATTCTTAAATATAAAATAACTGAAACTTTATGGAAATAATTATTTACATTTTTAGAAGAAATAAAGCAAGCAAATAATACTGATACTGACGAAGTGACCGATGAGAAAAAATCTTCAACAAACGACTCTATATCCAATGAAGAAAATACAAACTCGAAAACTAAACTAAAAGAAGATGATGATCTTTACAAATGTACCTGCCAAGGTAAGTTTTAATTGAAAGCTATATTACGCTAGCTATCGCTCGCGACTTCGTACGTGCGACATTAAAATAAACTTGTTCTTCCAATTAAATTTCAACTAGATTCATGCAGCCTCTGGAGATACTTTCTAACATACATCCAGACATAGAAACATTCGCATTTATAATATTAGTAAGATATGAATAAGAAGTAAGATGAGAGAGACATAAATATGTTTAATATATATTTGTCTATTCCACAAAGGTACGATATTCGAGCGTCCGCCGCCGCGCTCCTTCAACAAATGGCGGTTTAAAAACATTACCAATGCGGATAACTTCAGTATTATTGTGCACTGCTCACACAAACTTAAGGTATGTCAAACATTTATATTACTGACAAATTTCATTATTTTAACTTTAATGAAGCAAAGAGTTTGATTATGCATGTTTATTCAAAGATTTTCCTAACCAGCTCCTTTATATTTTCTCAGTAAAACGGAATAGTTTTTTTTTAGATGGTACTAATTTCAATAACTAATGTTAGGAAAAAAATCCCGGAAATGAGCCGGTGTATTGACACTAGCCTTACTAGGATGTTGATGTTTATGTCCCCTCGCTATTCATTGTGACACTAGAGTTTGTAACGAAAGCACGTCATTCGCGCCAAATGATTCTAATTAATAAAGTCTAGAAGTAAGAACCAAATATTCGAAGTTAGCGGCCAACCTTCAAGACTGAAGAGGCACTAGAAGAAGAAGAAGTAAGAATTCAAACAATCTAATGTTTATTATCCAGCCCGATTCCGGAAGGTTATAGTAGCATGCAATTATAATATTACCAAATGAGGCGGGAAGACACCCACAAGGTTAGTCTATGTTGTTTTGTGTCAGGACTCAATGGGCGAGGTGGTAGTGGAGCCCGTGCTGGAGTACCAGCTGGAGCTGGGCGCCAGCGCGCTCTCCCCGCACTCCACCGCCAGCCTGGCGCTCGCCCTCATGCTGAGGAGGCGCGCCTCGCTCCTCACTGGTAACTATACACGTGACCAACCCTGCACCTGACGTCTCCTCGGTTGTCCTTTGCTATAACTATATACAAAACTATTCAGTTTTCGACTAAACAAATGGTCCTTCGAGCCGAATCATTCGGTAGCAGTTCAGTTTTGTGCTCATGTTGTTGTTGCGATGTTGCGATGTTGCCGCACCGTGCACTTGCACATCACGGCAACATATCACGATGACGTCATAACCTGTGATGAGATCAACACAAACACAGGTTTGTATATACAAGATAGTGTTTACATTGTGCAAGTTGTATGTCAGCCCTGATTTACAGCTTTACTGTCCTACTGTGCTGGCATAATGTTAACCCGACCTAAGTGATACAGATATCGTTAGACAGGTAACATTTTATATTATTAGTGCGAGTGGACGGTCAGTCGGGCGAGGTGGTGCGCCTCGACACCACCAGTCTGGAGGAGCTGAGGGGGGACAACCCGGCGGCGAGCGAGGCGGCCGCTGCGCACACGCTGGCCACCACGCTGGCCCAGCTGCGGGGACTGCGACCCGGACACTATTTGCTCAAGCACGAGGTATGTGTTTCAAAATATTCTACATATTAGTATGATTTATATGTGTAGACTGCACGTAACCTCGCTTCTAGGAACTTATGCGATATCTTTGTATGTGTTATTACAGCCTAGCCACGGCATGAACGCGCTACTGTACCGGCCGTGCGGTGCGGGTGAGGTGGGCGGGGTTGGCGAGGAGGGCGGGGCGAGCGCGGCGGAGGGCGTGTCTGAGCGCGAGCGGCTGGAGTTCAGCTGCGAGCAGCGCGCGGACGCGGACGAGGCGCAGGCGGTGCGCGTGCCGCCCGACATCGTGCCGCTGCTGCTGCCGCTGCACAAGTACATACATACATACATGCCCTCACTTCATACACACAACAACGAAGACGAATTAGGGGAGATGAAATCCACTTGATCCACCTCGCTGACATAGTACAAAATACATACACCGCTAACGGAAAATGAGTACAATTGATGAAATCGCTTAAAGTTGTAAACTAAATTAAAAGCAACAGAAGAATATGTATGTGTCAGGTTGCGCAGGACGCTGCCGTGCGCGTTCACCCCGCACGAGCTGCAGGTGGCCAAGGAGAGCAAGAAGCCCGCCGCACGACAGAAACCTCCGCCGCAGGCAATCACGGTCAGTATCACTTTTTGACAAATTATTGATTTAAAACAAATTGATTCTAAAACAATTACTTTTTAAACCTTTAAACTAAATTTGGTAATTTGGTAAAAGAACAGATACTACACAGGTATTAATTTGGTTACAATGTTTAAATATATCTTAATGTTACTTAACCTTTATACTGAATAATATAGCAACCTGAGTGCACAGTATGCGAATTGTTATATTCTCGCTTCAATATTTTGATTGCATTAACTTTGCCCTTCATATTGACAACAAATTTTTAAATACACAACAATTTACCATTCTCATTGACGTTTTCAAGAATCTGACGTTTGTTTTTTTTTACAATAAAAAGTAAATGGAATCAAAAATTGAGCTACGTCAAATTTGACAGATAATATATATTTTTTTTGACAGGCACTTGCAATCTGACAGATAGTGAGTGTTGCATTGTGACCTGTTTAATGTGTGCCCGTTGTCTGGTTGTTAGTTGGGCGCGCAGGAGGAGGGCGCGGGGAACACTAAGGTACCGCGGCGACCGCGACCGCGACCGCGACTGCGACCGCTCGCTTGTCTTAGGGTTAGCGCGAGGCCCCGCTCTGCGTTAAGTATCCACCGCGTCGACGCTTCACCTCGCCCTTCGCCGCACACAACCATACGCAACTTGCAATGTCAAACTGTCAAAAGACGACTGTCATATCGACTATAGATGACTCCCCCCCCCCACTCTTACAATACAATATAAAGACAGTTTTACAAAATAAATTCAGATAATTATATTAATTAATGTAAAAATTCATGCATTCTGTGAAAAAATCTGTATGAAGAAATTAATACAGGTCTATCTCGTTAAAAAGTAAATGAAGGAAGGTGAAGCCTCGACAAAACATTTATTAACTATTGAAAAGCTAATAAGAGCTTCGCGAAAACTGCAGGTGATCGAGTTATTTATGTCAGTCAAATTCTTTGTTAATTTCCACTCAGGTTATTCCGGCTAAACACCGGGCTGTAACTGATACTTAGAAAAGTATCGGTTACAAATCACTAAGGGATTTTTTTTAATTTATGCCTCCAAAAGCGTTTTTGAGCAAAAAGATTTTGTCTATGGATCACCTTCAGCAGTTGTCTATGCCCCGATGATCTCTATGTCAAACATGAGATCAACTTAATGTTTTCAGGTATCAGTTTTTTTGGCCTGAAAACATTTATAACGTTAGATACATTCTCTCTCACCCAGAGAAATAAAAGATGGTTTTAAAAAGGCTAAAATATTGAAAAAAAAAAACATTTTCAATCTTCCCCGGGGTCATAGAAATAAATCCTAAATGTGATATGGTGAAGCCAGTTGCATTAAAATGTTTGTACAAAAAAAGTAAAATTAAACTATGTGATTGGACTATCTAGAATTCGAACCCACGACCTTTATATGTGCAGGTTCAGGTCAATTTGTACGAAAATATTTATATAAAAAAAGGAACTGTCAGTCTAAATGTTTGTTATTTAAATGTACTATTAAAGCCAATTTCCTTAATTAATTTTGTTTATTTTATTGCTGGGTTCGAATCCCGCGAAAATCGAAATTGTTGGATTTACAGTGGTGCGATTTGTGTCCCCCTGTGTTACAGTGATCGAAGTATTATTAAGAATATTCACTTATATGCAGCAAGTGATATTTTATATGTATATTTCTGACAAAATGTGTATTTTACAATAAATATTTATCTGCAGGTTTAGTGGTGTTAACATTTTTATGTGTAATTTATCACAATATGTTTGTTTCAGTGGCCAAAGAAGAAGAAGAAAGGCAAGAAATCAAAACGCAAAGTGTAGGACAATAAAAGTTTATGTTGGAATTATTGTTTTATTAACTAACTAGCTGTTGCCCGCGACTCCGTCCGCAAGTATTGCAAAAAACATAAAGTCCCCTATTTGTTGTTCCACTTAATGTTCTACTACATCTATGCTAAGTCAGCGAGATCCGTACAGCCGTTCTAGAGACACCTTCACACAAACATCCTTGCATCCATCTACACATTGGCATTTATAATATTGGTAGGATTTCTCTCAATACTTTTTTATGGAAAGGAAGATATTAAATGAAACAATTATTTATGTGTACATTATGTTCATTTATATTCAGTGCAATAAAAAATTAAATTAACATAATAATTGATTATAAGATAATTCGATTACAATAAATATATTTTTATATTATTCAAGCGGCTTCATCGAAATAGCCGTCCAACTGAGTCGCGATCTGAAACCAAATTGAAAACATTCTATCGCTTTTTTGCAATGTAAAAGAAATAAAAGTAAACGTTTATTCTTGTGGCAGCAAAAAATAAAATTTGTCAATAATTTGCCTCATAGAGTGGGCGTGGTTTGTGTACCTGCAGGGGCGTGTACTTGAGGTACTTGTCGGGGTTCTTGGAGAAGGGCAGATGTGCGTGCGCGTCGTAGAAGGCGGTGTATGCGGGCAGCAGCGCCTGCTTGTTGTCGCGCTTCAGAGACTCGCGCAGCTCCGCGTCCGGCACGCTGTACCCCGTCTGCGCGCGCCGGCACTCCTCCCACTCGCGGTTGAACGACTGCCAGGTGCGACACAATATCATACAACGCTCTCTCACATATCCTGGAAGTACATCTGGATGGTGCTCACCGCAAACTTATCTTTGAGCAGCTGTCGGTCCTTGTCGCGCAGCTTGCTGGGCATCGGCTCGTCCAGCGTTATGTGCGACAGCAGCTTGTTCCAGCTGCAACGGCACATAAAACTTATCTTTCGTGTACATCCGGCTCAACAAACCATGGGATCTGTGTTCTAATCTATTGTGTGAAGAGGTAAAGGATGCTTCAATGCGTACCTCTGCAGGTAGTTGTTCTTGTGCTCCTGTATGATTTCGCGGTACGTGGCCTCGCACTGCGGCTCCGCCAGTGCCAGCACGTCCAACAGTCCGCCGCGCTGCAGCCCCTGCAGCAGGTACAGCGTGTTGTTCAGCAGGAAGATGGCCTTCAGCGCGTCCGGGTACTGCTCGCTCTTGCTGCGCAGCGCCAGGTTCAGCTGCGCCAGCACCTTGCCTGCACAACGCAACAACTACTGTCACCAAGAAACTGACACCGTACGATGTAAAGTGTACTGAGAACTTGGGATGTAATACTTACGCATGTAAATGGCGAGCATGAGGGCGTTGCGGTCCTGCACGGCGGGCAGCTGGCTGGCGGCGCGCACGTACGCCGGCTCCTGCGCCAGCGCCGCGCCTGCGCAACACCACCCACAGTACAGTACATGTAGATCAAGACATCATGTTGTGTCTCAGCGGGGGAGACAGGGAGAGGGCGAAGCTTACCGACAGTGGGCAGGTGCGCGGCGAGAGCGTGGCAGTGTGCGAGCGCGGCGGCCGCCAGCTGGTGCACGGTGCCGTCCACCGCGCCCGTCGCGCTGTCGCTCTTCACGCCCTCCACCCACTCCTCCAGCGTGCGCACGCACTGCAACATCACGTGCACCTCACTCGCCACGCCCACAACACGCACTACGCACACACAACGCGCACCCTGCGTGTGTACTCACGTGCTGCTGGCAGCTGTTCAGTATGGCGGTGTAGGGCGCGGGGGAGGCGGGCTGCAGCGCGCGCTGCACGTCCGGCTGCAGCCGCTGCAGGCGCGCCAGCAGCGCCCAGCACGCCGCAGCGCCGCGGCTGCAGCGCGACGCCGCGCGGTGACTGCGGTTGCACGCGCGCTACATAGTTAAACGAGGGATTTTAACGCTATGCAAATAATCAATGGGGTGGTCAATGTAAGAAGAATGTGCGGTGTACCTCAACGTCAGCGGCGAGCAGGGCGAAGCAGTCCTTGAGCGTGGCGGCGAGGAGCGCGGGCAGGCGCGGCAGCGGCACCAGGCCGAGCGCGGCGCGCTGCTCGTGGCGCGCCAGCCGGCACACGCAGGCCGCCAGCGCGCCCGCGCACTCCGCCTCCGCCTCCTCCTGCCCCGGACCCTGCCCCGGGCCCTCGCCGCACTCCTCCCCGTCTGCAGGACACGCACACATTGCAACACATTACCTAAGCCGCGTTATCTTATTGTATGAAGGTTCAATATATCTTACATGATTCGTTGACAGATCTCCGCGGACCTATCGCAAGCCCCGTCGACTGCTCCAGCGTCTGGGAAGCTTTCATCATTAATTTGTTCGCGCGCTTCTCTAATCTTTAAATGAAATCGACAAAATTGTTATATGTACCGAAAAACTATTTCATTTTGCTGAAACTGTATAAAGCATTAATACTAACACTTTTTGTAGTTTGCTCGTCTTTTTAGTGCTGTCTGAACGATGGAGCAAGTTCTTCGATTTCTGAAACGATAAATAAATACATTTCCAAAAAAAATGAAAAGAGTATTTAGTAGGCAGTAGTTTGTAGTGGAGACGACACTGACCATGAGCGGCGAGGCGGCCATGGAGCGCGACCTGAGGTAGTCCTTGAAGGCGGTGAGCGAGGAACGGGCGGCGGGCGCGCGCACAGCCAGCAGCGCGGCGGCGGGGGGCCGGCCCGCGGCGCTCAGCCATGCCGCCGCGCTGCGCATCGTCTCCAGCGCTGACCCGTTCCCGCACCCGCACCCGCTGCCGCTCACACTCACGCTCACGCTCTCCACGCTCGAGTCTGACATGGTACAATCTCACACTTATACATATTATATTGTGGCTTTACTGAGGCTCAATCACCCCTAATTGTGTAGACTCAAGCTCCTTGGTTAGGCTAAAAGTCAATGTAATAATGCAAATTGTACATCTACACTTTTAATTGTTTAAAGTAAGTGATATAAATCAATCCAATTACAACACTATTACCTATACTCTAAATAAGGCGATGATAATTACATACCTTCCTCCAAGGCAATCATATCCATAAGTGTAGTGGGTGAGAGAGGTCTGGTGTTGCGACTCAGCAACTCCTCAAATGCACTTTCCAACTTCAGCACTCCAGTGTTGTATAATTGATTCTGAAGTATTGAAACAAAACATATACATATTTAAGAAACATTGATATATAAATAATTCAGGTTAAAATTGATTTTAACTTACAATGTTTTCTAGTTCAACGCTTTGAGGATTGTTCTTATTAAAATAGTTTTGCGCTTCTGCCAATTTATCCAAAGCCTGTAGAAGTTAAAAAACATATTTAATATTAGTATTTATTATCTAGAATTTTTAGTTCAACACAATAAAACAAAAACAATAAGTCACATAGAAATAAAGAATAAATCATTTAATAATGTCATGTATAAGAACTATTTTAGCAATAATTAATGATTTTATAATACTTAGATGAAATACCTCAAGATAAATATTCAAAGATTCTGTGGAGGATGTGTGTGGGCCAGCTTGTATGAGGTCTGCCAGCTCTCTGGACATCATGTAGAAGTTGATTACATGATCTAGAGCCTTCACTGTGCGCTCCATATCTACAATAAATATAGCTATTGTTTAACTAGGTAAAATAGCCAAAAGATGGTATATGCTAGCTGAGTAAATAATTCTCTTGAATCTTTGATACCTCCTACACAACACTAGTGGAAAGTGTTATTAAAATTGCATTATTTATTTTCAAAACTAATAACTAATTTAACATAAAACTTGCCCAATCAACAGACATCTTTCATTTATAATTTTAATTTCATAAAATGTTTCATTTCAACAAATTTGGAAACAGACTTTCCCTGCAATTTCAATGCCATACAATCAAATCCTAGTAACATAGGTGATGTTAATTATAACATACTGTTATGTATATGTTGCAAGCGAGCAGTGTCCCCATATAAAGGCAGGACTGCTGTCTCCAACTGCTGCAGCCTTTGCTCGCAGGCGCCTAGCACGTTGCACACGTCTCCTGCCAGCGCGGAGCTGCGGTTTGCAGCCGCTTTCAACTCTTGAATGTTTGTCATCTCCTAAAACATCCAAATGTTATGGGAAACGCCCACATAACGAAACAGGAATCAATCCATTACAGTGATTTAATTCAATCGTAATATTAGTAAAAAAGAAAAATAAAACAAGAATTTTTATCCCTTCGAGTTACCTTTTTTAATTTCATTTCTATTTCAAACTTTTTCTCAATCGCGTACATTATCACTTATCTATAGATAAACTAATTTTATGCGACTAATATTCAAATATTTAAATAAAATACTGCGTTAAAATATATTTCCTGAAGGCACTACATAAACAGCTACAATAATTACAGTACTTAAATAAAATAAAGTTTTTAATAAGAATTGATAAATAAATAGTAAAATAACAATTGACAGCCTGTCAACAAACTGTCAAACATCTGGAAAACCAAAAGTCAATGGAAACTGGAAACAATAAAATAACAAGTTTACAAAGAAAGTTGTTCTTGTATTTACTTATTAAATTTTTGCAATTACGTAATTTCGATTTGATTTTGTAAGTAGATCTGTTTACCTAGTTATTAATTTATATCATCATTTTAAATAATAATAGACTGACATTTACAAATGTTATTGTTGTATCCAAACGGTTTATGAATATATGATGACGTGCCGTACCTTCTCGAAACGTGGCTGACGTTTAAATTTTGGATTGTCTTGTCATAATTGTATAAATCCAACAAGAGTGAAGCGTAGGCACTTTTACAAAAACTGCTCAAAGGATTGCAATAATTAGTGTGTTAAATTGCTCTCAATTATAAAAAGTAAGTTTAAAGTGTGTAAAATTCATTTATGTTGTGATGTGACAAACTGGACAAACTTTTTATTGATTTATTAAATTTCTATTTCAGAAAATGGATCAAATCGCAAAGTTTGTAGAGCCAGGCAAGCAGTTCGCTAAAGACTCTATCAGATTAGTGAGAAGATGCACAAAACCAGACAGAAAAGGTAAGATAATCCAGATATTTTTTTAAGTGTGCTATATACATAAATTCCCGTTAATAGATGCATTATATTATTTACTTTACCAAGAGTTTCCACCTTTGAAACAGCTGATATACACACATTTTGTGTTCTATATCAATTAAAAAGAATATAAAGGATGGTGGTATTTTTGTACAGATATTTTGGAGGGGAAAACTTTGGTTTAAATATCAAAAATATAATTTACTATGGACACATAACTACTTTTGTAATGTATCAATTGTAACAATATTTTGAGCTTATTCTATAATTAATTATAATTTTTATGTTATTAAGCTTATAAATCAGATTTTTTCATTTGTATTAACTTTTACTAATTAACAACTGGCACTTTTTTATATTTATTAACTATCATAAATCATAATGATTTTTTTTCTTTATTTCCAGAATTCCAAAAGATTGCAATTGCCACTGCTATCGGATTCTGCATCATGGGATTCATCGGTTTCTTTGTTAAATTAATTCATATCCCCATCAACAACATTATTGTTGGATCGTAAGCTTTAGTTAGTTGCTTAGATATAATTTTTAACTTTAAGCCCGGAAGCCCTCTAATTTAAATTCTCAATTCTCCTCCAAATGCAGTATGATTTAAATAAATAAATTATAGCAAATTTTTTATTTATCTCTTGTTTTTTGTTGTATATTTTTCCTATTTAGAAGATCTTGAATATTAAAATGTGGGTATGCTGTATGTTGGATGAAATCTTTGAAAACTTTTATGAGACAAGAAATGTACAATCAATAAACTAGATACTACCACATCTGTTGCCTGCATATTACAAGAAAAGGGACAAATAAAACCACATATTAAAATTTATAAAAAGTCAACAATTTTATTTTAACAAAATGTCAAACAATGTCTTGAATTACTAATAAATGTATATATATATAATTATTCGAGTTCCTGAGTTATTCAATCGATGTAGAAAGGTTACCTGGATTTTAGTAGTTATGGAAAACTAATTAGTCAAGTTGCTATTTATCATTGTAAAAGAAGGAAGGAACAATTCTACAGCCAAATACAATTTTGTATATTTTCCTTTTCTAACTCTAAAAGTTTATAAAATGTATAAAATAAAAGTAATATAAAATCTCAATGATACAGTTCAAAAATGGAGAAATAAAATATGAACCTAAAAATGCATATTAAGGCGAAAAAACTTGGCGATAATTTTAATTTTGCTTGTGACTAATAAAGTTAAGTATATTTTTTCACTTGAGCACCGAATATTCCACAAGCATTTCTTCATTCATAATTATTTTAATTAAATCTATTTGTACTATTTTAATAAAATAGGAACATCAATTGAGTGGTTTCCGCATAACATGTATGTAATAGGCGGGATTTTCTACTTGGTCCAAAGCCTTGAAGTCAGCGTATATGCTGTGCTCCGCCTTGTTGTCGAACGCCTCGTCCAGCATCGATGTGAACTTGTCCAGCTCATGCGGGTAGTAACACAACCGGAACATACTGTCAATATAAACCATCACCTATTTAATGTTAATATGAGATATTCTTGTCTAGAGTAACATAAAGTTTTGCCCTTAGTAGAGAATTAAGGACTATCTTAGATTTTTGAGCCCAAAATCCCCGATTAAAACAGGGATGCTCTGTCTTACACAGAGATTTTGGATGCAGAAACGAATGCTGAGTGTAGTAATTATTTATGCCACAATTAATTAATCTACGTAATAGATTTGGGTCAAGATCATCCACGAAATCGAAAGTTTTTATATCAACTGTTCTATCCCTCATAAAGGCGCACTTACGAACTGGTTGCTACAGAGCTATGGGTATAGAAGTAAACATGACAGGACACAATGATGACATCAATTCGTTTATCTGTTTTTCACCTTTGTTCATTGAGCTCGGCGTCTTCGTTTGTGTGGATGAGGTAATCCAGCGCCACCAGCTCGGGTTTCCCGCGGACTACCAGCACCGACGTCTTGATATCCACTGGATAGCTGCACTATATAGACAATACATTATTATATAAACAGTATATTTATTATTTTATAACCGTTTATGAATTCTTTTGGTCCTTCAAGCAAGATTTATTAGTACTAAAAATAAATATGTAAAATTCTATAATAAAATATGTTTCTCTATCGGAGGTGTAATCAAAATTAGAATATAAAATAATCAATCTTACATTATAATATATAGAATGTCCGGGTGTAGCTCCGCTGTTTATCATGGCGTCGTAGTTCCTGTGGTCAATGAACAACAGACCGCCAGGCTTGAGCACCTTGGCAAAGTTCCTGAGGCACATCTTCTGCGTGCGTTGGTCTTCAAACTCATCCAGCAAGTGGGCGAACGAATTGCCCAGGCAGATTACTGCGTCAAATGTCGCGCCCGGCAAGAAAGACTGGATGTCTTCCGGCAATGTCTCCCAGCTCGCCTCTTCGATTACTGGAAAATAAGAGAATATAAAATGTCTTATTGATTTCATTACATACTTATTTAAACTTTGTTAAACTCAATTTTAGTGACTTTCTTTTTGTTTAAATTTAAAGTTAAGCAAGTTCTTTAAACTTAAAGATTAAAGTTAAACTAAGTATCGACTGGTTATGTGACTATTTTTCTTACAATATAAATATTACAATTTATTAATTAAAATAAGCAGATATAATGGCAACACTAATTATGTGTGTAGAATTACATACTCCATTCATCATATTTGTGGTCCTTCCTCTTCTCCCATCGCGCCTTAAGCGCGTGCTTCAGCATCTTGTCTGAGGCGTCCACTGACACCACCTTGAAACCCTCGTCTACCAGCATCATAGAGTCTATGCTGGAAATCCACAAACATTTACATTTAACAATTGTTCATAGAACAGACGTCTGATCTCAGCGTGGTGAGTTCGATTTCCGTCGATATAATTGATTTCTAAATATGCTTGTGGCAGAATATTTATGAGCCCTTTTGTTTTATTTCTTTTCTTTAAAGAAATATACACTTGTTATTGTTCTCAGATTTATAATCTCCCAATGTGGTTAATAGAAAATAAACTGTTTGGTTATTAGTTAGCGTTAAGATATGAAATTAATTTTGTTATGTTATTCAGCGTAACGACAAGTTGAGATAAATGACGTGCGATAAGAGAACTGTTTATGTCGAAAGGTTAACACTATCTTGCCTTATCCGATACTTAAACGTAATTACACTGTTTTATATAAACATTATCATGCATAGATAATAAATACGACAACTAAACGAAAATAAGATTGATATGAAAAAAAGTTCATTGCACATATGACAGTCGATACGACTATTGTTTTTTAATAGGATTAGGTTAGTAGCACAGGATATACATATATACGTTTGATCTAAAAAAAAAAGTTGCAACGGCTGCAGCTGCCGAAAATAATTTTCTTAATCATAAAGGATTTATCTAAGAAAACCGACTATAATTAAATACACAAAAATCCAGCATAAATAACTTACAGGATGTTATTTTAAAAGTCACAAAAAAAATTATAGATGTAAAATCAATTCTTATTTTCGCGGTAGATTTCAACTCGAATTTCTTACATCTAATGACTATTTACTGCGTTTAATAAATTTATCTCATGTTGCTAAACCAAAACAGGTTGTCGAGCGACTCAAAAACTTGTCCAATTTATGTCCCAACTTCCCTGTTTTATTTTTGATCCTGTTTCGGGACCCCTTTTGTGGATAATTTAATCGTCTTCTCCTCGGGAACTTTCGAGGAATTTCAAACTTGAACCCTTTACAATATATTATTATAAATTGGCATTTATAGATTAGAATAGATTTTGATAAAGAAACAAGAAACTTTATAGTACTTCTTCATATTATATGGCATAAAATATCCGCACAGACGGAAACTCTGGTTTCCTAAACAATGCATACTCTATTCGAGTCTAGCAAATAAGTAACACGTCTAGACTGACCATAACAATGGACAAGCTACTGGCATTGCATTACGTCATTTTACGCTGAATACAATATAGCTTTCAATTGCCTTATCGTTTTATATGTTACTAGGTTTTGATACTTTATCAAAACTATACAAAAAAATATTAACTCTAACATAGTTAACTCTTATGTTATTGTACACGTGTAGCATTTATCTCGCAGTTATAGTTGTTTTAGATAAATATGTTTTAAATTATTTAATAAAACAAGTAACATGTATTTAAAGATAGTTTAGATATCACGTACACTTTAATCACTTATTTCGAGTTGACATTTTCAACTTAGAGGTTAACTTTTATATTTTTATCGTTTTTATAGCTTCTTTTTAGATAGCACCAATCAGTTATACAGAGAATTACGTAAAGAATAATTAGTAGCACGTAGTTTGATATCAAGATGAAAATGGTGCTTAACTGGCCACAAAAGGCGTGGCTTAGTGTAGGTTTAGTAATCTCATAGTAATCTGCCTGGTACTCACCCCGTGCCGCAAGCCGCATCCAGAACTCTAACGCAGTTGTGTTTCCTAAGCAGTCCAGTAAGAAAGTTTTTGTAGTTTTGCGTGCGTTGATTGCTGTCGCCAATGTATTTCTTCCACACTCTGGCCGCCTTGCCGTCCGCGTACTGGTCCTTCACACCCTCAGAGGGAATCCCCTGGGATCGGGAGTGGAATACTTTGTCCGCTGACATTGTGTGTTAACACCCTGCATGTCAAGAGGATACAATAAGATTGTGTCATTTAAAAATAGTTTGTATTTAAGATCGACTGAGCTCAAAAGACCTACTATTTTTATGTTGAATAACTATGCCCGGTCGTAAAAATAAGATCGGAGATAAGAACATCTTAGTGATTTACGCTTTCAATATTTTATAGCCTAATATTTATTTCATTGTCCATTACACACCTATGTACCGTTATCCACTGAGGTAACTGTAAACGCATAGCTAGTCTGCGTTCCTTTATAAAAAGTTTTACATTGTTACATCCTTTATAACAACTTTATTGCTAAATTAATTAGTTATCTAATTACGTCATTTTATCACAACTCTACGTTGTAACTGATTCAGCACGACAAAGCTTATCGATTACATTAAATTACGTAAAAAGGATAGTTTCTATATATTTCATATATACAAAGAACCTAGGTTTTACTTTTAAATGGTCAAGATGGAGTATGCTCCAATTTTGCTTTCCCTGTTGTAACTATTTATTTTCTTGTCTCGTCTACTACATACTCGACGACCGTTCTTGCTATTTCTACTAATTTCGTTGAATTAAGACAGGTAAATCCCCTAACATCATTACTGTATCGACTGCTAAGTATAAATTATAAACGCAACTTGCAAAGTGTCAAATGACGGGTTACATATACATATTACTTTTCCCTGTGACTTGGAGAGCGAAATCTTAAATCATAGATGCCCAAAGTTCATTTTAATAATGAACCCTCCTATTTTGAATTTATCGTATACTAACTCATATTTTGATAATATTTACGTTAATTTAAGATAACTTATTTCACTCGATTAGCAATTTGTGTTATATTGACATTGAAATTAATTATTGAATATCCTTATGGTAGGTAATAAAAACGTTAGTAAACCGTCACCACATTTTTGCAGTTGTAATAATTTATCGCAACTCTGTCTATACCTTTTTTATGTACTTTATATTGCACGTATTTGTTTATCATTGGACTAATTTTAATTTAAATAAAGCAAAGAATCATATTATAAATACACTGAATTCAAACGATCAAACCAGGAAAACTTTTTGATTTTACAGTTTTTGAACCTGGAACTTGCGGCATGACAATATGACAACTTAAATTGATCAATTCTGAATAATACAAAGATATTTTACCACAAAAAAAAATTGATAAATCAAATGCCTACCTATAATACAATAATTATCCCAGCGTGTGAATGTCGCAGTAAACAGCAACGATGTATCAACGATTAGCACTGGAACAACAGTCCATGTTCACCACGTTATATATTTTAGCACTTACAAAACAATGATGCAATAAAACGCTGGTTTTCGCGTCCGACGTACGGGCCCGCTTCGCCAACACTACGCGGTAGCGACTAACTGACGACCACGGCTCCGATCTAGCCCGCTGTTTGAGTAGCGGCCTGCGAATTTCCATGTCCTCTTGGCATTGATCGTGAAATACTATAAGTTAAATATTCAATGCGAAAAAAATCTAGTTATTGAGTTTTCGACTTCAATACTCGACTTTTTGATTCGATTTTGGAAAATTCCTTCAAAACGTATTAAACGATATTTAAATAAATATTTTATAACACAAATTTTACGAGGATAAATATGTACTAAACTACGCAAGGGAAATAATATTCTGCTCGATTTTTAATGTGAAAACCTAGTAATTAGGGGTTCAGTGGAAGATAACGGTATTTTTTTCTTACTGAGGATTTGTTAACAAATTTTCAAGATTCCATTGAAACACTTTATACAATAGGGCATTGACACGAAAATTATGTAATCGGAATACACACACGCACACACACACACACACACACACCGGATATCCGATAATGGGAAGGCGACATTGTTCTTTAAATAATTTTTTGGACTATTATTGAAGTTAAACAACCTGATGATCTTTCACGACGATGATGAAACCTTTCATCGAAAAAAGTGTTTTTTTTTCAGGGTGATTTTGTGTAGTATGTATAGTACTTTGATTATAATATTTAAATAACAGCGTCGGTGGCTCAGGGGTTAAGCACTTGCCTTAAAACCTGCAGTTACTGAATTCAAATCCCGCCATGTACCAATCTGTTCTTAAATTTTTATGTATAATACATTTATCCGACGGTCTTGAATGACACTAATACGATGTTATCTAAAGCGGCTGGCGTTTATTATTATTCACTTTTACCCGAGTTTTTTTTTATATCATAAGGTGGCAAACGAGCGAGCGACCACCTGAAATCGCTGAAATAGCGAAGTAAGCGTTGCCCATAGATAGACATACGCAAATTGCATATGCGTTGTCAACAGTGGCGCCTTCTTAGTGCCTTTTAGAACCAATTTTTTACTAATATATTACTAATTATTATAATATAGTATATAGAGTTTAAGATTGTTCATATTTTAGTATATCGCAATTTTTTATTACTGTTATGCAATAATTTGAGCAGAAAAAATAAAATTTTACATGATCTAAAAATACTGATATCATCATCAGATAATATTTTGCGACATCATTTACCAAAAAAATGTTTTCATTCTGCTGCTCTCGGTCGGTTACGGTGTGGGCCATATAAAGCGCGTGGTCGCGACCGCATCCGCTCAGTGCGTAGAGGCCCTTTGGCTATTAGAAAATTAAAGTACTCGAAACGTAATATAATGACGAGGCAGTTCCTACGAGTCCTAACTTTTGTATACATACTAGTTCCTATAGTTATTATTATTTACTGTCTGTGCATGTTGTTAAGATTTTGTTACGTGATAACACATTACTGGGTCTTATTTATGTTGACAGCGTCATCTGTTGTTGAATAAAGATAACCTTACTTCTAACTCATAACACTGTCATAAGTGGAGCGTATTACGATAGATTTACATACATAGAAAACCTTGCATTCTTTTTGACATAATTGCTGTAGCGGACCCTAAGGAACATACTTTGTGTTCAAAATTCAAGTTGCGTGTTGTCATATGTTCATGTGCATATCACTATTTCCATTATAGTTATTGAATACATGAATAATTACGTAAAAGGACAGGAATGTGGTAAAATTATATGCACGACATTTTCTTTTAATTTCTTTAATTAATGTCACAAATAACAATGAAAACATTATTTTATTAAAAATTTATTAGTCTATAATAAAACGTTAGATTCATAAGTACATAATTGTTACTTAAATATTACTCAACCTAACGTAATTTACCTAATTGTAGTGCGACAAAGTTATCTGACCCGGTGAGAGGCGCTACCATCGCGGTTAGTTTTGTTACAAATATGTTAAACTTACATAAGAAATGACATAAAAGAAAAATATATTCTTGTTGTACTTTTCCTGTCTTCTCATGATCATTGCCAATGGGCCCTAGTGAGGTGTGAGCTGAGCGCCGGGTCACATAACTTTCTCGGTCTATATTGTTACCGTGGGGTTTCCACTGCACTGAAACTACACATATCGAGATACCTCATCTCTTTGAAAAAGGACAATATGTGTAACAGCAGTGAAAACCCAGAGTAAAGTTCACACACAAACATGTTATTTAAGTCAAAAATAGTCAAAATACAATAGACAAATAAACAATTTGTTTAAAATATTCATAATCAACCGGAAAGGTTAAAAAACTTTATTTTGTCGGCATAAAATAAGCAGCTATCATTACAAACATTCCTAATTTATTACTTTGACGTTTCTGTGTTCTGTATTCCCGTGAGTACAGATTTATCTCGATTCTCTCATCTGAGATTTGGCACTGCCGTTGGATGCTGCAACTGATATATGAAGAAAGTACTCCGACTTAATATAATAATAATATTGCTTTGTAAAAGGTAATATGTAAGAATGAAGTAAGTAAGTAAGTAAGGTATGTAAATATGATGTAAGTGAGAAGGCGAAGAAGGCGAAGAAGGCGACGCTAAATACCGGCGCCGACATCCGACGCGTCGATACCGAGCATCGCGAGCTCCTCCAACTCTTCTTTATTCTTCTCCTTGAGTTCCGTCTTCTGCGCGTCCGCAGACTCGGTGTTGTTACTGTTCTGGTGTCCGGGCACGATGGGCACCTGCGTGTCGTAGAGCTGCGGCCGCGCGGGAGGCAACACCTGCTGGTTCACGTCGAAGCCCATCATCATGGGTGACATGGGCGACAGCTGGGCGATGGGCGACTGCACGAGGCCCATGTGGTGGGGGAAGGGCACGGGCGGCATGGGCGCGAAGCCCGGCGGCAGGCCCGGCACGAACAGCTCCGACTGCGTCAGCTCAGAGGGCTTCGCGTTGGAGGGGAAGATGATGTCCAGCGCCTCCTGGAAGTCCTTGGGCAGGTTGCTGGCCGGCTGCGGCGGCGGGATCGGCCTGCAACAAATGTTTTATATGTGATGTATTATGTGTGACTCTCGTGGGGAGGTGGGACAGATGTGTCAGTGTGTCAGGAGTGTGTACTGACGGCGGCAGCAGCTGCGGCGGGCAGGGCGGGCAGGGGGGCGGCAGGAAGGCGAGCGGCGGCAGCGCGAGTCCCATCTCCTGCTGCTGCTTCTCCAGCTGCGCCTTCGCTATCTTCTCCTTGAATATGGCGACCTGCAACACGAGCTGCACTAAGCATAAACTAGCTTATCTAGTTTTATCTAACAGAATTTTTGGCGCCTACTACTTCATTTTGTTTCATTATCTTCGTGTAATTCTAAACAGTACCTTTTTCTGTATCTCCGCGTCCATCTCTTCTCTTTTCTTCTTGATGACTTCTTCTTCGTGTTTCTTCTTCTCTTCCTCTTTTTTCTGTTCCTCGTTCTTCGCTGTCTTCGATAAGTTTTTGAACACAGGCATCTTTCCTAAAGACGAATATGTTATATAAAGAACATGAAGAATCACTTAATCTATACAAATAAAACAAAATTATACACGTACACTTGATGTGTTTGCATTTTGGTAACGAAAAACCAATTTGTGAAATGTTTGTCTGTCTGTCTGTCTGAAGGTCCGCGTATGTTCCGGGTTATGTCCAGAACGACTGGACCGATTTTGGGGGTATTGGGACGGGAAGGTAGGTTATGCATATTATGGAATTTTTATTAATTGTGCGCAGACGAAGTCGTGGGCGACCGCTAGTAATGGATATAAGTTACGGTTTCAAACTGACCAATAAAAGGCATCTTCTTAATTTCTGTTTTTTTCACATCTGCTTGCTGAACTGATCGCGACTGATTATCTCTTGTGTCCTGACTCTCATTCCTTCTCTCTGTTCTTTCCTCTCTTCTATCCGAAGTCTCTCTTCTGTCATCTCTTCTTTCTCTGTCGTCCCTCTTGTCCGGCCTCTCATTTCTTCTGTCATCTCTCCTCTCCTGTCTATCTTCTCTTTTGCTGTCCGACCTGCGCTCCCCGCGGCGATCTTGATCATCGCGGGAGGGAGATTTGCGTCGTTCTTTCCTTTATAAAAATAAATATGAAAATAATAAACAAAATGCTAAAACAGATTTGTAAGCTAATATGAAAATCTATTAGCGTGACAGAATTGGCACAAAACTTTGAATCATATTTGCTCAAATACTATCTGTCGCCCGTGACTTCGTCCGCGTGGAATAAAAAAAAAACTTAATAAATACTCTATGTGTTCTTCCACAATATCTCCTTCATCTAGGGAAAATTTTAACAAGATCCATGCAGCAGTTCTGGAGATACATAATATAATACATCCATCCACAATCCATACATCCAAACATTGGCATAATATTAGTAAAGAGTAATATAAAGCGGTGTATACTCACTGGACTCTGTACTTCAAGTTGTCGAGCAACTTCCTGTCAAAGTTGACAGGTATTGATGACATCCATTGTGACAGCGCGTTCTTGTCTATCACCGTTTCTTTCTTCTCTGAAATCAGTTACAAAATGTTAACATATACATCGAGGTGGAAAAAAAACTATAATTTCAAACACAAAAATGGATTACTCGTGAAATCAACACAACTTTGAAACAGAACTTACTTTCAAATGCATTTAAATGACGTTTTTTACAGAGTTATGTTTTATACATGTATTTTGACAATGAAAACATAAATTATACTTACTTTTACGTTTCTTATTATCACTGTCCGAGCTGCTGGAGCTACTGGACTCGCTGCTGGACCTCCTCTTCTTGTTCTTCTTCTTCTTCCTTCTGTCCTTCTTCCTCTTCTTGTCCGCCGTGTCGGGGCTGGCCTTCCTCTTGGTGTGGAAGCCGTCCTTGCTGAAGGTGATGGTGTGGGCGGCGTAGGGCGGCTTCTCCTCAGCCTTGGCTTTGGCTCTGCTCTTCTCGAAGGCCTTCTGACGATCAGACATCCAGTCCGTGTCCCAATGCGGGTTCTGCTCTACGAAGTTCTGGAAATATCATTATAATTATATTATGATGACATTTTGAGTATTTTATGAAATGTTGTGATATAAGAATTAAAATGTTTATCTGCAGTAAGAAATTAATTCACCATGTGATTTAAATAGTGTATAAGTAGGTGGATGTTAAATGAGTAACGCAATAAATCTTATCTACAACACACAAAGAAAATAAAGTTATTTACATGGAATTTATACATATTCATGTTTTCCGTGTGAAAAACAAACATCGCGATACAAAAAGTGTGAGTTCTAATATCGCCATCCCTTTCATTATATTAGAGTTTAGTGTGAGAGCAATACGTAGACTGACCGTGTAGTTCTTGGAGTGTATGATGGACTTGAGATGTGCGGAGGCGCAGTGCAGGTCTCCAATGAACTGGTCGCACAGCTTGCAGTACCACGCTGTCGACGGCACGAAGAACTGCAGACCTGGCACATATCACATTCAATATACCAAAACTTGACGAAATACCCAAGTGCCATTTGCCTCCAGACATCTGCAGTTGCAGATGCATGCCTACCATCAAACATATGAGAGGAGGCAGAGAAAGATATTTCCCCATCCTGTGTTTTCTCTTATATAAAAAAACTCCCTTTTCAATCTCGTCCTTATAAGAATAGAAAGGAAGAGAAAGTAGACTGAATTAAGACTTTAACATGCACATTCAACAGACTGTACGCGGAATTAGTTCGATGGTCAACAGATGTTTGTTCAACTACTGTGATACAAAAATAAACTGAAATCATAATGAAATACTATGAGATAATTACCTCTAATAGGTGTGCGCTTGGTGGGTGCTGAGGGGTAGTTGGGGAAGCCCTCGTTCATGCCCGCCACCGAGTGCCAGGGCGCCTCCATGTGCGACGATGCCATCCTACACACAGTATAACTCGGTAAAACTGATCAGCGGAAACTCAAGGTGAAGACGTAGCGACTATAATTAAAAAAACTGCCCAAATCGCTTCATACCGTGGTGGATAAATTTTAAGAAATAAACTTTATACCAGTGATTCTCATTGTCCAGGCTATTTCCCTGGGTCAATGGTATTCTGGGTGGGGGAAACAATAACGAATTATAAATTTGAAAATTTACAAGTTGAGAAAATGTGGCAGAAAGTAAAAACAGTTTGGGAATATTAGCTGCCTTACTATTATTATAAATGCTAATGTTTGAATGGATGGATGTTTGTTTGTTAGAATGTATATCAAGAACGGCTGCATAAATCTCCTTGAAATTTGTCATACATTTAGAACATAATCTGGAAGAACACACAGGTTACTTATTAAGTTTTTTTTATCAGCCGCGCGAACGGGATCGCGGGCGACAGCTTGTTTTCTAATAAAAATTGCGTAGTTACTTGTGATGTGAGGGCGAATGCAGATGCGTGAGGTAGTCTTTAGCGGTTGCGGGGAACTCGTTGCAGACGCGGCACCAGTGCATCTCCGGGTCGTAGTATACGTAGTTGAATCTCTTAGTTGACGGTGACCTGACAACAGTTAACGGTAACTAATCATCGCTTCAATTTTAACTGCCATACACGGACAACTTTAAACAGTCGCAGCAGGTGTCGGCACTACTCAATGCAGTCCGTGTATGGTAGCTTTAAGTATTATAACTATGTTTTATGAGTAATAAAAATGAAATACTCTTCTTTGGGTTGAAACATCGCGTATGAACGTTTGGACCGCGTTTAATAGTTTTTATTACAAAACGTTCATGAGGTTATTAACGAAAATAAACATTAATTACCTCATGAACATTTTATTGCTTACATGTGACATATTATTGCTTTATAAATAATTATCATTTTACATTTCAATTACTTTACAAAGGCAAAGACATCGAAAAATATTTTTTTTTTTTACAAAAAGTTCAAAAAGTCATTTTCAAATTAATGAAATTTTTCACACCGCAGCTGCAAAACAAATATTCGAAATTATTCAGAGATAAATACGGAATGTACAAAATGATTCGTTTAGCATAATGATATGAAATAAATAATTAAAGTTCATTGTCATTAGCCAAAGAACGCTTCTATTGTGTTATGACAGAATACAGAACAAATGTAATAGTGTCATTTTAACACAGTTCATATAAAAACTATTTGAAAAAGTAGAAATATGTAACAAATTTATAACGAAATCATACAAACGTACAATAAAACTACATAGAAATTGTATATAAGAAAGGATAGGAAAATAAACAGCTGTAAATATCAACATACAAATTTTATTAAAGTTACAAATAATTTTTCCTTAATCATTACAAATAAATATATAACAAGAAATCTTAGATGTAAAGTAATATTTCTCATGTTACAAAAAACTTAAATATTTTAATACAATCATTCATATGTAAAAAAAAATTAGCAATTTATATTACAAGATGCATTAAAAAATCTTCTTTTATATAATAATTCCACATTTTCCTTCTTTGAACACCGTTGCATAGCTTGATAATCCACAAACTGTAAGTTTTATAGTTCACCGTTCTGTTCGGAGGCAATATTATAGCTATATCTAATAATATTCAATATCAAAAACTTACAAATTTCAAATTTACCCTTTTATATGTAAGCACGTAACAAATATCATAGTACCAACCTGGACTTTCTCTTTGAGCTGCGTTCTCCGGAGTCATCCACTTCACTCTTGTCCACCTCTTCACCGATGATACCGTTCAACATGTCCACAACATTGTTGATAGTCTTCAACTTATTTTGTATCTCCAACTATAGCCAATTTATTACAAAGTGTAGCATTAGAAATAAAAAAAACTTCTTTTAAAAAGCTTAAAAATATAATTGTAAAATGAATTCATTAACTTAATATAAGTATTAAATGTAAGCAATTAATAATCAAACCTGTAATTTTGTATTCTCTTTCAAAAACCGTTTGGTGTCAGGACTGGGCGAGCGTTTGGAGTCGCTGTGCAGTTCGCTTCTCTGTTCTTTCAGAGTCTCCAGCTCCTTTTTGAGTATGGTTGCTTTCTTCATGCAGTCCTCCCGTTGTTTCGATAGAGCCGCCTTTTGGTGACGCATTTCTGATTCTATCGCCGCTGTTCAAAGAAAATATAGAGTTATGTATATATTTTCAAAAGAATAACAAAGGGAATTTCATTTATTACATAACATGTTTAAATAGTAAAAGCTGCAAACCTTAATTCAATCATAGCAAATATTATAATAAATAATTGTGTCTGGTACATTCACTGTTATTCTTCTCGGTAATAGAATAGTGCAAGAACATCCGATACTTGCTTATATTTCAAATTGAGGATAATTGTAGCTTTTTGTTGTAAAATGCACAATTTGGTACATAAGTCTAAGACTTCATATGGAAAACACCTGCACAACTTAATCTGAATCAACCCTTAATTATGAGCCAACTGGAAAGTGTGTCTTGATGTGAGTGAATCCATTGATGAAGGTTGCTATAGGGATCAATTCCGGCAAACACTATCTTAGAATATGGTTCCTCCTGCATTACTGATGCAAATATTCTAATAATTAAAAATGGAATATTACACATTGTTATATGAAGAAAGAAAATATAATTGTACGAACATTGCACACAAACAACTTACCATGTTAAAAAATAAATATATCCCCAACACCATGAAAATGTTGCCCCCAAACCGTATCTCTAGAGGATTTTTCATGTTTTGTTTTCTTCAATATATTGTAATGCTAGGTTTTTTTAAAAGTGTTTTACAAAGGAATACATGTTATTCCTTTTCATGCAGTATTTTTGACACTTAGGTAAAAATTGGTTAAAAAAACTTAATATTGAGTTTTAGAGCCTGAAATTATCTATTAGCATGACATACCTTCTTTTTTAATTTGCTCTTCAACATTGTTGAACACAGGTTGGGCAGGAGCTGGTTGACTCCATCCCGAGGAACCAGGTGGCATCGGAGGCATTGCACTTCCAAAGTTATCATAGTTAACAGGGTATGGCTGCTGATAGTTGCGTGGATAATTTCCACCCTTGAAGAATTGACATTATTATTTTTTCTTCAAACCTACTTGTAAGGTGAGTTAGTGGCACTAAATGTGTTGAAAATTTACTATTGTAGCGGAAAATACTAGGAAACATATTTTTATAGTTTTATAACTAAGAATCAGATTTCAAAAATATCTTAATTAAACAATATCACTAGCTTATAACCAAAAATAGTCATCAATAATATTTAAAAATATATAAATTTAGCACAATATAATTACATCTCGTGTGAAAGAAGGTGGTGCATTTCCGCTGAAACCTTCTTGAAATTGACTATCCCATAATTCATTAGGTTCTGGCAGTTTTGATATCTCATTCAGGATGTTGTCATCTAATATATCTTTTTCAGATTTTTGTGGCGAGCGGCTACGGCGTTTACCCTCTCTAATGGGAGGGCTTCTGCTGCGTTTCCTCTGCGTTTGATTCCTATAATAATTTCGATCCCAACCGCCACCGCGGTCATAACCTGACTTCCGAGAAACATCGCGAGACATTGTCGGTTCAAGAAAGTTTCATTTAATATTTAACAAACAAGGATATTTACATCTATTTAAAGCTTAAAATAATCACACACGATAGAAAATATGTTATTTTTTAGGTTTAATTAACATATTACGCTTCACAATAAATGCAAACAAAACTTTGACGTTGACAGTTGACTGTTTCCGCCATTTTGACAAAATGTCATTTCGGTGTAGGCTTGTCCATAAATAATATGTCCATGTTGCCTATGGCTTGAAATCGATAAAAAAAAAACATTGAAGACCCTCGAGACATTCTCCATATTTACCTATTTATCGCTTGCTTGCACCTGCATCTTTATCTAAATCCTAAAAGGAAACTTAGTAAGTAGCCTATGCATAATTCCAGGCAGTATTCTATCTCTGTACCATTCATCCCAATTCATTTTGGTTCTTATGTACGTACGTGGACGTAGCTGCCAAAGAGTTAATTAAATATTTTCATAGTTCATATTCAACACTTCAATTAAGAATCTAGTACCGCTATAACATACAGAGATACGATTCTATTCTATAATATAAAGCAACACGATGTAATGTCACTGAAGATGCCATGACAGGTTATTTTATTTTCGCGGAACTTTGAAATTTATTTAGAAAATACAAAATACACATGTAAGTTCCTTTGTGTTTGGTATCATTCGAATCGCCTTCTTTCCCGAAGCCCCGAAGAAATAAAATTCTAAGTTAGTGAAAATCGAATACGAATCTCGCTAGCCTTAACTTTTATATATTATTCAAATAATTTCTTAGATGTATTCGAGTATATTGGAAATGGAAAAGTATTACATCAAAATGCTAAAATTTTGATGGCACTATTCAATCAATTGGAGCCCCAGTCAGATGGGGTTTTGTATTTTTTTTAATTAAGTTAAAGTAAAATTTAAAAATTAAATTAATAAAAAAATTATAAAAGCACAATACAAAATGGTGCAGTACGTACACCTATTTATTTGATAAGGCGTTTAATAAAACGTTAAAGTAAACATTTAAAGTCCTAAATCATTCTAGTATAAAATCTGACAAAACCAAACCCAAAAAAATGGACATTTTCATAAAATAACAACAACATAATGCAACATAGGACGTGAGCTCGTAACATAGACGGTAAGGCCAACACCACGGACTTACATTTAGAGCGGACACTACACTCGCTTCTTCTGCATTCATACATCAAAATAAAATATATGAAAGATATCAATTTTAATTTAGTTAATAACCTGTGTCCTTGTTTTATAACAACTTAGAGTGTACACAATAGCGACTGTGTTAGATTTCGTTTTTTTTAGCGAAAGTCAAGTAATAACTTCTTAAGTGTCTTAAGGTCATCTAGATTACGTTTTTTGCTAGAAAAAAAATAGCCGTGTTTGAGCTAAACTTTGGTAATTTTTGTAATTTATTTATTAATAATTATTCCCTTGCTATTGCGGATGTCTATGGGTAGCGGTTACTTTGCCATTTTGGTGATTTTAAGTGGCCGCCTGCTCGTTTGCCACCGTATCACATAAGAACTACTTACGCTTTACTTCCGCTTTAAAAATAATTAATCATTTGATTTGATTATATCAATTTATTTGAAAGAATCCTGTATTTTGCTACTACTAGCTTGCTCGTTCACCAAGTGTATGTAGGTGGTAGTGGGTTCGTTTCTACACGACATTAAATCGACCGAGGAAGTAACACATTGATAGGTGATAATTCGTTCTCGTATATTTTCCTGTCTAAACATCGAATTCTGTAGTAATATTGCCTAAAAAGTCCACGTTAATAGGCGTTTATAAATGTAATTTAATGTTTACATTTTTTTCGAATACAACTGCAGCCTGTTGAAACAATGCAATAATAGGCAATTATTAATTCGCTAAATTTGAGATTAAGACATGCGCTTGAAATAGTGAAACCTCCATTAGTGACAGATTTATCGAAATTGCAATCGTGTTGACACCGGACCGGGCGTCACCTTCACCTTGCCGTGCCGTGCGGACTTCCATTGATGTCTGTGTCATTAGCACTAGTAACTGCACTACGCGGGAATTCAATTTTGTGCCACTAACTTTGTATTTAAGTACTTAATTTAAAAGAATCATCTATACTTAATATAAGTTCAATAGCGGAAGAACAATTCATAGACAAATTATTTTTCTAGTGCAATGGTAACGGAAAGAACGGTATCGGAAGTGAGTACTTATTTATTTAAGCATTTGTCGATTGTGATTTCTTTTTAAAAATTAAGAGAAAATGTATATAGAAGTCTAATCAGTAGAGCACTAAATATTCGAACCCAGGATCGTATGTTTTGTAGTGAGTGTTACGCTGTCAAAAAGCTTCAGATAATAGATTGGGTTTAGTTTTGCAAGTGTCAATTGTTAGTTTAATACCTTCCTGTTTAATCTTCAATAGAATGATTATGTAAAAGCTATCAAAGGGTTTAAATCGATGATTAATTGATAGTTGCCAAAAGTTGGCAACCTCCCGTTTGTTAGGTCGTTGCACTGCGATGGCGGGGAAGCAAAACCGCCAGAGACGCACCGGCGCGACCATTGCCGCGCGTTCGCTGGACGCATGCGCGTTGCCTTTGCCTTTCTTGTGGCGCGAAAAAGTACTCGTCTCCAGTTTGATATTTGAATAAAAAGTTTTATGAAAAGTACTTTGTATTGTAAATATTTTTTTTTACAATATTTTAGTTGTGTGTTTGTGTCAGTTATAGAAGAAAATAGTCAAAATGAAATATAAGGTAAGATTTTAAATATTTACAATTATTACTTTTAATGTAATAATAATTATTTTTTTTAATTAAAATAAAACTATTTGTGTAGAAATTTGAAAATAAAAGTTTCTTAAAACTAACAGTTCTGACGATGAATTAAACTTTTCGCTAAAGTTTATTAACTTATTCAAATATTTTTAGTGAAAACTTAGGTAAGGGTTAACAAATATTATACATAGTATAGGCATAATGTGTAATATCTAGAATATTTCTTTTTTTTTTTTAAATAGATATTATTTTTACATACAATCGAACAATTTAAAAGTACAATATGTAGGTAGTTGACTGTGGTCTACAACACCTACTAAACACAACGTATAACACACAATATTATTTAAATACAATCAGATTAACGTAATAATAAATAATGGTATATTATGACACTAATTTACATAGATTTAGTGGAAGCATTGGCTCCTGAACCAGGTTGTCTTGTGTTTCATTGGACAACTCCTTCCCCTTACATAAACTCCGAACATAACACATACAGGGTCAATCACATGCTTATCAAGTTAATTTTTCATAGTTTGGTCTGGAAACTGAGGATCAAATCTCTTTACATAAAAGCCAAATACAACAGAATATTAATAGTTACATAGTGTATAATCATATCCTAAATTTTTTTGTTATTTAAATAGTTCTTATGTTAATTTTATGTCATTTACGAAAAACTAACCCCGGCTAGTTATTGTTCAAACTGAAATCTTAAGTCAAGGAAGCGTAGTTCGTCCTTTATATGACTTCTAAAAAACTTCCATCAATACGCGTACAAATGCGGCAGCGGTAAACTAACGTGTATTTTACACTAGAACCCAATAATCTATCTCCATCTCGTTTTGCTTTTCCAACGTATTCTAAATTAACCTTTTACATTATCTTCGTTGTCTTAAATTTAACCTATCATTAAGGAAAAACCTCATTTCCTTGTCATACAAATTAAACAAAATAGTTTGCAAATCTTCATAAGGATTGATTACTGGAATGAGTGAATCGATGTCGCTTTATGGGTATTTGACAGTTTTAAGTAACAATGTATTTTAAAGTTTAAAAAAACTGCTGAAACACGTTTTCAAAAGCAGTCTAATCGTCAGAATTAAGTAATATATAGGTTTTATTAAAATTTGTCCTCTGAGAATGGAACCAAGAATCGTGTTACAATACTAACTACTCAGTCAATGGGTTGCCGAAAAGCGTAAAGTAAATATGATTTCATTGAGACGTTTTCTCTCACAGATGCGAGAAAAATGATATCCATATCCATTGAGACGAATGAAAATATTTGGCAATGTTGTTATTATAGCGATTTAAGTTGGGCCATTGTCGATTGATATTATATTTACCATTTTACGTTTTGGGCGGCGACATATCTCGTGGAAGAGACAATTCTGGGACAATGTGAACCGTCTTTTGTTATTTGAACTGTTTTATGCGATGTTCCCAGACTTAATACAATATAGCGATAGTTTTGGTTAATTTCAAATATAAATTAAAACGAACTGCAAACAAGACATAACC